GCTTACTTTTACTGTTTGAGTGCTATTTCAATTGAATATCCAGCTCTTTTTCATGATCAAAGACTGCCTTTTGGTTAGGATGTTAAACTGAGGCTTCATCTGCCCTCCTGTAAAAGATCCCTTGACACTATTTAAGGAAGAACAGGGAACTCTCCCCAGTGTCCTGACCAATATTTATCCCTCAACCAGCATTGGTAAAATAGATTATCTGGTCATTATCTCATTGCTGTTTGGGGAATGTGTTTATGCGTAAATTGGCTGCCATATTACCTACATTACAACAGTGACTACATGTCACATGTACTTCACTGGATATGAAGCATTTGGAAGACCCTGAGGTCATGAATACATCATGTATAGTCAGTATCAACATTGTACGAGCAATTAATATAAAACATGGCTTGAAAATTATGTTTCAGGGTTCTTTCACTTGAAAGACTTAGAAATTACCAAATTATTCTCACTGTATATAACTTTTGAAACTTAACAAACTTCAGTTATATATTTTTCATGAACTATTCCAGTCTGTCATGTATACTTTGAATTTCATATTTCATGGCCATCTGCTTATTAGGAAGTCACTTCAAGTAGTGAAACAGCAACAGCGGCAGCTGTAGGTCAGAAAGCTGTTTTTTTTCTAGTTGCTGGCGAATGTGAGTAATTATGTGAAAAATGTAAGGAAGAGAAAAGGTTGTTTTTAATTTTGTAAAATGTTTTTGAAGTCATTGTTTTAATCCAACAATTAAATATGTATCTTTATGAATTCAAAAATAACCTTCAAACTTTAGCCCTAAAAGTAATATCTAGTTTTCAGTTTTTAACATGTACAAAAATTTCATCTCGCACTTGCATTGTTTATTATCTTCCACTACTATTTTGAGTAAAGCATTTATGGCAGCATCTGGTCAATCTGAAAACTTTATCTTTCAAGCTAGGATTCTAGTGCCAGGAGCCAGAATTAAACAGGGAGGGGGATGCAATGGTGAGCTTTCCATCCAACCTCCAACTTCCACAGCATGGGATTACTGCGTGTATGTACTTGGCATCTAACACTATAGGGTGGGATCCTGCAGTACTGGCAAAGTTATTGGCAAAGCTGCTGAGGCTTTTTAACACAGGACACAGTTCATGTCTTTAACGATGTGATTTGGATGGAGAGGCTGTGCATTGGAGTTCAGTAACACTCTAGGTCCTGAAGTTTGCTAACTCTCTGCTATAGATTGTTCATTGTAGCACATTAAGGGAATCACTAAGTTCAGCAGAAACAAACAAGTAACAAAGGCTTCACAAAATTGAGGCTGGAGGTTTGGTGTTTTGCGGCACTGGTGTGAGAATCTTGTTTTTCAACATCAGTGGGGCAAGGATAGCTTTGGCAATATTATGGAAAACTTTTTTTGAGCAGAACGGAGAGCACAAATTTTATCTGTTTTTGTGGTTCAGGCATGGATTTTAAGGCCTAGTGACACCTGTGGAGAAAGGTTCTACAATGTAGCTGGGCAGAGAAGAGCAAAACATGTTGGAGAATTCATAAGAATGGGTGCCAAGGATAGTGGAGCTATTGATCTTTATTCTGTCTGTACCCCAAATACCCTCCTCCTAGCGTTTCTAGTTTCTCTCAACGGTCTGCTCTCCGTATTCATCCCTTCTGCATTCACACTCTGTACATACCAACTCGCCCTTTCCTCAACATGTAAATTCCATTTTCCTCATCAATTCTCCTTTGACTGCTTCCTTTTTTGTATAAATCTTCAACCTTCTCTCCAACTCTTCACTGTCGATCACTCTCCCCAAAGCCTATTTCTGATCAGTGGTAAAAGATAACTGAACAGTGGTTAAGGTTGTGTAAGAAATCAAGGTCTGCAAGCATTGTGGCTGAAATAACTGCACAGAGGCCAATATCCTGTCATCTGTGCTGTATGACCCTATGACCAAGAGATCCTTTATTTACATAGGCTCTGACCAGCCTGCTCAGATCTAGAATGAGGAGACTCCCCGAATCTCTTGTTTATATCTGTTAGCCAGGTTAACAACCCTAATCAAGGATCTCATAGTCAATGAGGTCCACCTGGCTATCGCTCCAATCACTACAGTGGCCAATCCCTGATTTGTTGAATTGGGGAGGGAGAGGCTAGTGGGTTTCAGACTGGGCAGAAGAGAAGTAAGTACTGGTAGGGGAGTTTGCAATTCCAGATCCAATATCCCATTTTACCCATGCTCATAAATGACTCAAAACCACTGTCAAACTGGAGATTGTTCATCATGATCTCCTCTTCAGTCCTCTGCTTATATCACTGTACATCTAGAGGCAATCGGACAAGCAGAGAAATACAATTAGTTGAAGCGCAAGAATGTTATTGCAGTTCAAATCAAGCTGCTAGGGTATTGAGGGGGCAGGGGGGATGGGGGACGGGGGGCTGCAGTGCACCATTGATGCAAAGGTATAATTGCAATATGACAATTTTACTCCTGAAGCCTCCATTGTAATACAGATATCAGAATTTATATTAGGAAAGCATTGAGACCAAAGCATGGTAACGTATTGCAGAAATGAAAGATTTTATTGTTTGATAGAACTATCTTGTTTAATTACAAAAACTTTAAAACCTATGAAAACCTCTTTAAGATTGTTGTAAATCTATGAAATTAATTATTGAGATTAACCAACCAAAATAGTAACACAGTCAGATCTTTGTAAGGAAAATCAATATTGATAGTATTTACAATCCCCAAGAAATTGATTGCTTTTTTAAATGAAAACAAGGATTATTTAGTCAATTTAAATGACATTATAATGTAACAAAGATAGTTAATGCTATCAACAATGCATAATGACCGCTGGTAAGGAGTCTGTGTGCAATTTAAGTGTTGTCTGTGATTCAGAATAATGCCCACAGGTCAGATTCCAGTTAAGATTGAGGTTGCTTGACCCTACTTTCTTGGCCTGCCACTAGAGTGGACAGAAATGGCAGATGGAAATGGCATTGAATAAACTACCAAAAAAAAACCTCAGAGTGAAACATCAGTAGACAAAGATCCAAGGGTCTGTCTTTAGGGCAGAGTACCTATGGAGTGATAAATTGAATGACTGCTGATATGGAGTTTGTAAATAGGAGGGGAAGGCAGTGGGTTTGAATAGTATTATAGTAAAAATACCATCCTTTCTCTGAAATTCAGGCCATAACGATAAGTTGAGAAATTTCTTTCTGATTACAGCCATGAGTTTGGGAATGCTAAATTCAGTTTCCAGTGGACACATTCACAACCTAAATAATCCCTATATTTAGTATTAATTTTATGGTATCGCTCTAAGAGATACACTAATACTGAAGATATTCAGAGATTGTATACTGGAAAGACAGTCATCAGTTTGGTTACCATAAATACAGATTTTATTTAGAAAGAGTTACTCTATTCTAGACTGTAAACAACAGTGTTTCAAATTAGAATGTAAATCTTGGGACATGTGAATTGCTTTCACAATTATCTGATGATTAATTTATCTCAATGTTTATATTGCTGAAAAACATTGTTTTAAATCTTTCCATCTGCAGATGATTGGAGATAGAATATATGTCTGGAAATGTGAATCAGGACCCACCGGAAGTCCTGATACACAGATGTCCATGGGAAATTTAAATTTCTCATGGGGTAATTTCCTGCTTCCCAGATCGTCCATGAATGCTTTAAACCCTAAGCTCAGGGCAGGGACTTTTGTTAAATGTGTGTACTTATCTTACAAATGTTGGTCAGTTTAATTCCTAGACTAATAATTCAGCAACTCCACAACTGACCTCCCATTTGACTACCGCCCCAAGGACACAATTTAATCCCCATGACATCCTATCTGAGCCCCGCCCCCCACCATCTGATTACTGCCTCAAACAACCAACTAACCCAGGCATTGAACTGTCCCTTCCCCCAACTAACTCCCAACCACTGAACTACAGCCCCCAGCCTGTACCAACTGCTGGATCCAACTGTCCCTGAATCCCTACACAACCAATGTAACTGGCCTAAGCATTTGATTATCTTCCCCCTGGACTGACTATCCCCTTGTGGATAGTTTGGTACTTGGGGAGGTAAGTGGAATATCCCTAAAGAAATGGGCAGCAAGGCCAGGTCAGTAAAATGTATACAACCAATGGAATGTGCATGGCTCTGTTTGGAAAAAAAGTACATTTCAAGTTACATTTTCAAGGCAATAAAATTAATGCTTGAAATCATTGAGTTATCATTTATGATTTTCAGTTGAACTATTGACTGTAAAAATCCTGCCACTAACTTTAAAAAGTCTACAGATTAAAAATGGTCATACTAAAGTCAGAAAAAATTCTTCATGAATGGTTAATTTTACAACGGGCTATATCAGATTGTCTTTTCTCAGATATAAGATACACGAGAGAATCCTCAATTTTGTAACCCTCTTACAATTATGAGCTTTATAAGATTATTATATTTTAGGACTATATCTTTTAGTTTTTAAGATTCATATATATTGGGTCAAATAAATGTGCTCATGCGACCTATACTGGAGTCTGCCTGACAGTAAACCTGGCTGAGTTAGTTGTAAGAAATCAATAGAAAAGTGCAAAGAATTGACTCTTGGTAACAATAATTCTTGTCCTTTTGTAAACCATGAATAGACTCCAAGTTTCCCAAAATCTCAGAAAGGTGCTACAGGTATCAAGTTGTAAGCAGTGGTGTTGTAAAGTATCCATTTATATCTCAGACGAAAAGGAGTCAGGATCAAAGATAACTAATGACCATTTCAACTGAGATGCAAAACTAACATGTTTTCTATTGCCATGGGGAATGGCAGCCATTTTAAGATCTGATTATAAGCTCCTCCATAAAGCCATAAATGTCATGGAGGGGCAGTTCCGGTTTTGTCGTGTGTAGTCTGCAGGTATCAGAGAAGTAGAGTGAACAAAAGACAGAATTTAAATTGACTAAATTGACCTCAATCAGTGCAGGTACTGACTTTACCATTCACCATGCAGAACACAGTGGGACCTTGTGCACAGCCTGAAGACCATGTTTGAGAGGAGTTAAAGGACGCTACAAGATTTTCATAGCTTGAAGCTAGGAAAAGAAATCTACAGTGAGAGATAATTCTGCGGTCAGAGGTTCTCCGGCTAGGAAAATAAAATCAAGCAGTCCATGTAAGTGTTTGTGATAAGAACTGTAATTCCATATCAAGTGCAATGTGATAAGTAAAAAAAGGTTCTACATATTGCAATAAAGTGTAACGTGTAGATAACAAAATATAGTTTAGTCGATAGTTTATTTCGGCGTTTGATGTAATAAAGTTTTAAAATATGAAATCATGACATATTATTCGTCTCGCTATTAACTACAAGTTCAGATTTCTCTTTAAAAGTTATCTATCACTGTGGAAATCATAACGACCCCAATACTACAATTGAGGAAACCAATCTGAAGGACATACTGACCCGAACATTATGACATAGCTATAATGTGTCAGTTTGAGACAATAGCCAATTTAGAGTGACATGGAGCTGGTAATACTGTTGTCTCCACATCGCCCTCTAGTTAGTCAAATTGATCTTAGCATGCTTATCATTTACATGGAGTTCTGCTTTAGGCTTCCAAATACTGATTATGTTTCTTAACATTAGAAAAATGTAGATAAGAACTGACAGCAGTAATACTTAACAAGTTTACCTTGCACAAGTTATTTTTGCACTGTGACTGGCGCGAAGGCAGAATGGTATGAAATTATTTCCTCCAGGTGGTCTTGCATATTTGCTAAAATTTGATGTTTGCTCAATTTGGCAAGATTACTCCCTAGCAATATTAACCTACCCTTGTAAAAATAGAGCCATTTTTACAGTTTCATAATGATATCAGTCACACTTTTAAGTTATTTCCTCACATCAGAGGCATTTATTGATTAAAAATCAGAAAACTTCAGAAGGAGGTCAGAGCTGGCTTTTAATTTTTCTTGCTGGTTGATCTTTAATGAGATTCTGAAGGCATGTCTGCCTCTATTTTTTTCATAAAACATCTCTTCTCATAAACACGATACTGTACACAAAAGGAAACACCCATTAACTTTGTCATCACATCATATCACAATAACAAAAAATGTTGAGGAAGGCTGCACAGGAAAGGCAACAGTTTTAGTTATTAAACAAAAGAAAAGATACAAGAATAAATGCCAAAACAGACACTGAACCACACCTTGTCAATAAGTCAGCTCACAATCGAAGGAAGAGCAATCACCAAAGGAATTATTCTTACAATTTTAGATAGGTGGATTTATTTTCTAAAAAAAACAATAGAACATGATTGTTGACTTTGTTCATAATTTTTAGTTTTGCTGTTAGACTAATTTTGTAGCTTTGCGACTTACAATGTCACTTCCTGCTGCCAAACAGGCAGCACATGAAAATGAAATCTGCCAAACTAATTTTTAAGAATTTTTACAAACTGTTATAAAGATCACTTAGCATGTGTAAATTTAACTTGTTTAGCACAGGAACATTTGTTGTGGTAGTAACAAGCAAATCAATCAAGCTTTGTAGAGATAGACAGTGTGAATTCTACCCTTCCTGCTCAGTGAGGTGACTTGCCCATATATCCTGCTATCTTCAAGTTTAACCACTTCTAGCCACGCAGCAAGGACATCTCTCCGAGTCTGGAACCATTGTCATCATCAAGCCCTGAGTGTAATTGAATTGTGTTTTGAGTAAAAACATTATTGTGAATTTCTCTCCTGATGAAGACAACAGAAAGACAATCAGAAGAAAAAATATAAAATTTGAATAGGGCTTTTAAAATTGTAATTATGGTTCCCCAGAAGAGCATAGCATAGTGTTTCACAAGCATATTTTAGGTCTCTGCCACCCAAATGTTTATTCTCATTTCTCTCCTATTAAACATTTCCCTTTTCTGCTTTACAACTTAACTGAATGCTGATGAACTATGTTTTGGGGACAGCCAGCAGATTTCTGCTACTCAATCAGACACCTAAACAATCCTACAACCACTTCTCACTGTTTCAAGCAGCTAGTTATCCAGGAGTGGGCAAATGAGGCCCACAAGTTAAAATCACATGGGTTTGATATCCAGGCATCTACACTTTCATCAGTGGACAGCTCAGCAGACTTTCTCTTGATAAGAAAGTAGACATACTGAAAATTCAACAATTAATTATGAAATATCTGAGAAGTCCCATCTTTGTCACTTGAAAGGCAGTCTCAATATCTCACCAGCCTCTGCAATCCCAAACCCTGATCACAAATTGGATAGCTCTGCCTATTGGCAATAAATTCACCACATCTGTCAAAGGTTATTCAATATTTCATTTCATCCTACATTAGATGAATGGATGAAGTGTAAATTGCCAGAAATACACACTTGAGGTGTGACTAATGACTCTACTGCCCCCTAATGAATCTACAAATTGCAACTATGGGTAAGTTAGCTCAGTTGGCTGCATGGATATTCTGCAATGTAGAATAATGTCAACAGTGTGGGTTCAATTCCTGTACAAGCTAAGATTACCATGAAGGTCCTGCTTTCTCAACCTTGCCCCTTATCTAAGGAATGGTGACCCTCCAGTTTAAATCACTAGCAGTTGTGTCTCTCTAATTTGAGAGTGGCCCTCTGGGACTATGACAACTTTCTATATTTATTGAAGCAGCATGTTACATAAGCTTTTACATCAACCAGGAAAAGCATTTGTGTGCCGTGTTTCCAATGAACTAGACACCCAACCCAAACTGCATCATAATTCTAGAGTTTACCTCAATGTACATTCAATTCATGGCAGATTGAAGAAATCTGGCCCAAAAGCAATTAACTCTTTACGTAAAGTTCAATCAGGGTTTCTTCATCATAATGAAATGTTCCTTGTATCCCTGAACTTGTTTCTTCCCATTGATTCTTTCCTGAAAAACTGATTAATCATGAGTCATTCTTACATGGGGGCTGCAAAATTTGATTGTGCTGCACTTGCATTTCTAGAGCAATGGAGCATTTTGGGCTCAAAAAGGCATCCGAGCTACGCACACAATTCTGTTGCAGTCCACAACAGATGCCATGTTAGGTAAGAAGTTAGCACCAGCATTAGGACCAGGTGCTGAACATATGCAAATTAGACAGAACGTGACTTCAAATAATATGTAACATTGATTTGACTTTAGTGGTATCATTTTCAATATCACTGCTCCAACTAATGACGTATCTTAACCTTTCACAGCTAACTATCCATTGAGCAGCAGGAAGGAGCCCCCAGAATGACGCAAGTTAAACAGATCAGCAACCGCTTTAAGGTCAGCGGCTGATTTATTTCTACACATAGTTGCTAAGTTAGAAAGATTTGGACATTTGTACAGCAATTTAGTGTTGCTGAAGTCCGCAGGGAGTGAAATGGCAAATGATAAAATCCTGGGTTCTCATTTCAAACTTGAAAGAAATTATGACTATTCTCAGATTTGACCAAATCTACACTATAATATGACTGAAATTAACAAACCAGCAATCCTTGAGAAACTGATATAGTTATTGCTGGAAGAGTTTAAATAAACCAGTTTCAAACCATTCTTGCTAATCTAAACATAGTTACTTGAGTGATCTAGATTGTCAGTTTCTGATAGTAGCCATCATTGTGACAAACTTCAATGTCAAGCTGATTAGAACTACATAATAGTATCAGATTAGAAAACTACAAGACTGCCATTTACACCTTAGATGAAGGAATGTACTTAGAGAACTGCAGAATGGAGAATTTCTGGAAGTCCAGCAGAGATGGTGTCAAAGCTTATTGGTTGGAGGTAAGAAGAAAGGAGGTAGCAAAAACTAACAAACATTATTCTAGTCTTAGATGTTTGTATAACAAGACTCCTGCCAAATTTGGGGTATAAAAACAGCAATTCAGAGATGTTTGCTGTGGCTCCTGGGATGATGATCAGGCTCACAGGAGAATGAATCTACTAGTCAACGATGAACAAATCACTCATTGATGTTTGAACACATGTATGTATGCTGATTTTGTTTGTAATCATTCCTGATGGTGACACTCAGTTATAGTCATTAGTTATTTTAAATAAAGAAACATCTATCCTAAAAGCTTTGTCAGAAGTTGCCTTTTTGATCAAGAATTTAAATTTGTAAGCACCAGAATAGGTGAATAATTGTTCCGAGTTTTACAGCTTCTTGTGATAAGTGATACATTTTCCAATCCCCAGAGCAGCAGAATAAGTGGTGACACAGGAGGACAAGCTCCTCAAAGTGGGGAAAGTGGACAGGGAGGGAAGGGCTCGCAATAGCAGGACGTACCAACCCAGAGGCTTCAGGAAACAATATTCCTGCTTGACCTAAGCCCAGAACATTGTATGCAATATCTCATTTCCACTTAGGACGTGCTCATTGTGGCACTTCTTATAAAAAGGTCCTCTTTATATATTTTAGAGTTTGCTGCCTGCTATAATGGATATCAGTGAGACTCTGTATGCACAGAGAGCAGAAAATACTTAATTTTCTCTACCTAGGGAGCCCACATCTATAGCAGAATAGCAGTTTTTCCCCATGGCCCACGTCACTGCTGCTTTATAAGCAGCACATGTGAATTCAGTGGTGTACCACACTAGAAGGAATTGTGCTTCCTCAATATCAACCATATGCAATACATCATGCAGGTCAATACTGAGTGTACTGACAACAGTCTTGATGGCTTTACTTTACAGGGGTCCACTACACTAACAGCACTAGAGCCAACACATGAAAGGAGAACAGGTCTTTTAGGCAACAAAGATTGCCCACTGACCAGAGCTGTCTTTATTGTGCCTTTGCCTGTCCTAATGCCCCAGTACAGTGCTATATGGCTAACTTGCAGTGGGGTTTGCAGAATGATTTCAGTGTGCTCAGGCCCTAGAAGGCCAAGCTTCAGCCTGTGTTTTCTTGTTATGGGTGACAGCATTCTATACCGGTTAGCTGACAGGAAAAGTCAGTTATCAAGTAACCAGTTGTGGGAAGTCAGTAAGTGTATCATCCTGAGGCAGAGTAGCATGTTCCGTAAAGCAACAGCTATTCCACCTGTGTGCGGCCTCAACCATCATAGCAAGATGTTGGAGAACAGCTTTGAGACCCTGCACGTTCTTTTGCACACTTTGCTTCCATTGTGACAACAGTCTGAGGTTGTGTGGCAACTAGCTATGTTTGAAGAGCAACAAGTTGAATGTTCTTGAATTCCACGGTAGTATTCAGAAAGTGGAGCTCTTGTGGTGCACTTAGTAGCATTTCTAACTCTGAGGCAAAAACTCTGGATTCAAGATCCACTTCAGGACTTGATGGTCGCAGAGTGTACATGAATAACATAACTAAACAGGGTGAATATCAACCTGTAAATCCTTCCAGTTTGCCATGTTTGATGTGCAGTGGTTCCCCTCAAGCTCTAACCTCTGGTGAGAGTTTAATAAATACTTTCTGGACTTGAGAAAAGTTTATAGAGGAGTTTCTCAAGTTTAGGGCTCTTGATCTGCCTGAAATATATTAACTACCGAGACTATAGTGTACAGAAGAAGGGAAAAAAAAAGGATTAAAAGAGATGCAAGCTTATACATTCTTCAGGTTGCAAATCAGAAGAAATTACAGAATGGAGGGAATTAGAATGAGGGAGAATATTAGGTATGATTATACCACTATCTTCAAGCATTTCCATTGGCAAAGACCTCAGCTGTGATGACTCTAAAGATGGTGAGCAGTATTTGCTAGTGTGAGGACTGTAGCTGTGCCTAGAGCCTGACACTTATATGCTGCTGCCAACAGTTAAAGTCATAGAGTCATAGAGGTGTACAGCACGGAAACAGACCCTTTGGTCCAACTCAACCATGCCAACCAGATATCCTAAATGAATCTCGTCCCATTTGCCAGCGTTTGTCACATATCCCTCTAAACTCTTCTTATTCATTTACAGATCCAGATGCTTTTTAAATGTTGTAATCGTACCAGCCTCCACCACTTCCCCTGGCAGCTCATTCCATACATACACCACTCTCTGCATGAAAAAGTTACGCCATTGGTCCCTTTTTTATCTTTTCCCTCTCACCTTAAACCTATTCCCTACAGATTTGGACTCCTTCGCCCCGGGGAAAAGACCTTACCTATTTACCCTATCCATGCCCTTTATGATTTTCTAAATCTCGATGAGGTCACCCCTCAGCTTCCAGTGCTTCAGGGAAAATAGCCCCAGCCTATTCAGCCTCTCCTTGTAACTCAAACCCTCCAACCCTGGCAACAGGCTTGTAAATCTTTTCTGAACCCTTTGTAGTTTCACAATATCCTTCCCAAAGCAGGGAGACCAGAATTTCACACAGTACTCCAAAAGTGGCTGAACCAATGTCCTGTACAGCTTCAACATGACTTCCCAATGCCTGTACTCAATGCACTAACTGATAAAGGCAAGCATACCAATGGCCTTCTTCACTAGCCTATCTACCTACAACTCTACTTTCAAGGAATTACGAACCCGCATTCCAAGGTCTCTGTTCAGCAACACTCCCCAGGACATTAACATTAAGTGTATAAGTCCTGCCCTGATTTTCCTTTCCAAAATGCAGAACATCACATTTATCTAAATTAAACTGCATCCGCCACTCCTCAGCCCTTCGGTCCATCTGATCAAGATCCCGTTGTACTCTGTGGTAACCTTCTTCACTGTCCACTACACTTCCAATTTTAGTGTCTTGTCACCTTGCCCTCCAAGTGAAAGGTACATGTAAAAAGGAGTTACGAGAACATAGAATCAGGCTATGTCAATGAATGAGATGCACCGTGTTTGGGTATTGTGCCTGTCATAGCTGAATAGGTGAAAATGGTGCAGACTGAGTGAGTGTGATGTTTGCAGTGGTGCTAAGTGTACGAGGATGCAATAGCACTGTGTATGAGACTGTGATGAAGTCATGAATGTGAATTAAGAGTCTTGGTTGATTAGGAGGATAAGTAAGTGGATGAATGAAGCTGGTGAATTGAGCAAAATATGAGACCAATGGTGTAACTGGTAGGATATGGTACTTGAACATGTATTTCTGACATTGATTGCTTGTGTGATGCCATTGAACTTCTTCTGCCAATGAATTCAGGTCCTCAGGCTACACTCCTAACTTTTACCGCAATGGTCAACGTGTACCTCTGTTTTAGCAATGTCTGTCTGGTGGGTTTCCTGGTTCCCCTTGAATGGAGACCTTCTCTCCTCCTGTCCGCTTCATGCAACAAGGTGTTCTGCCATATTGGGGCATTCTTGTATCTTTCCCAGGTCAAACTCACTTGTCGAATCACTTCTAGCACCTTCTCCAGTCAAAGTGCACCTCTTTTTTAAGTGGTGTAGGCTGCCTTTAAGTAAGGCAGGTTAGCTTGAAGTCGTGATCGACTCTCCATTTTGCATTTGCTGTTAAGGTGTACATGTCTCTGCATTTGACGCAAGCCTAAGGATGTCTCAAGGCTTGGATTTGCTGTTGTCATTTCAAGTGCCTAGGTTGATGTCCAGTTTCATTCCTTTTAGGCATCATAGGACTTTAATATATTTCAGTGGCCAGCTAGACCATTTCAGAGTCAACTATCCTTCCCAAAAGTGCATTAGGGAACTAGATAGGCTTTTATGATGATTGACAAAGGTTTGATGTGAATTTAAATTCCACCATGGTGGGTTATGAACATCAAACTGTGCCACTAGACTGAGTCCAATGACATTCCTACTCTGCTACTGCCTCCCTTGATTGTTCCCGATATTCGTGAGTGTGGTAGTGCCCATTTGGCTTTTTAATGTTAGTGTTTTTGTTTCAAGATGGTCAACATACTTAAAGAAAACATTTTGACAGTGGTCCTCAGTGGGAATTATCACTAACAAAGTATATATTGCTCATTCAATAAGGATAAATGGGCAGAATTCAATGAAGAGACATATGTTACTTATTCTGACAGAACAGCATAATTAGTTATTTATTAAATGCTCAAACACATCATGAATATTTCATGCAATACATTGAATTTAAAGTTTTAACCAAAATATGTGTACAGAGGAATTTAACCTCTGTGGTCACACATTAACTAATATAGATCATTTGTGCTTTGCATCTCAAATAGCCAACATTTAAATATACAAACAGCAAAATACAGTAATGCCCCAGCTCATCTTGCTTTTCATGGAACAGCATCCCTTTCTTTTAAGTCAATTTCCTGTCATCTACATTTTAGTCCACAGCTTGAGTTTTTAGTTTTTGCTTGGTTTTCCTTCTGCTACAGACAACAGTCATGAGGATAATGTCTCAGAGGACAGCAGAACTGATTGCAAAACAGTTTGCTGAAGCAGATAAATACTAAAGAAGAGCTTAAAGGAATTAAACCGTACTTATAAAGAAAAGAAACAATTATTCGTAAAGCAAATGACTGGCAATTTATTTGAATTTTTTTTGGAGTAATTATTAGCTGAAAGAAGAGTTCATGCA